AAAAAAACTAAAAACAAAAATTTAATTTTATTATAAACTGTCTAAATATAGATAATCCTTATTAATATTAATCTATTTGAATTAGTTTTAAATTATATTAATAGTAATATTAATAAAAAATTATATTAAAGTTGATATATACTATATAAAAAAATTTTAATATATAAAAATTTATAAAAATTTATTTTGTAACTTAAGTTAATTTTAACAAGGTTGATATTAACAAAGTTACTTATATTTATATCTTAGTATATTATATTTATAAACTATATTAATAACAAATTAGAAAAGCTACAAGTAGTTTTATACTTTTAATCTTAAATATTATATTAAATTTTAATAAAAAATTGATTTAAATAAGGCCATACAAATTTGTATTTTTGGTTCTCATAACCGGCCAGGTTACCAAATCTAAATTAAAAAATTTTAATTTTTAGGTATAGTAAAAAATTGACCAATAAGAATTGATAAATTTATAGCGCAAAATTTTAAATATTTGATTTATTTATTGTTACATGATTTATTTGTATTATATTACTGAACACATATTCTTTAATTTAGATATGTACGTATATATATATAGTTTTACATGACTAGTATATAGACTTTTTTTATATATATATTAACTCATTGTTAAATATCTATTATATGATTTTATTTAGTAAACTCAAAAAATCATATTATAGTAAAATCTTCATAACAATAAGTATACCTTCTATAATATTTTCTCTTATTGATTTCTAAATACACTTTGTTAAAGTTTAACTCTAAAAATATATATTTATGGTTTTATTGTATTTCAATACAGAATTTTTTATTATTACTTTGATCTGCTTGTTTCTATTTATACTATCTTTTTGAACTTGCAGTATAATTACTATATGTCAGATATATATTTTTTGTTTCCACACTTTTAACATTAGCACTACCACAGCTATAGCAAATATTAAGATAAATCTTTATAGAATAATATGGTTTTTTGATAGAAGAAGCACAAGTTCAAGAATTATTTACAAATATACAAGTAAAAAGCTCTCAAATAGGATCATTAACCACATCTTTACTATTGTTACTAATAAACTTTTAGGTTCGGTATCTTCATAATTGGCATTATCATCACTCTAAATATCCTCATCAGATATAGCAATATCATATTCAAAATTGAAACTTTCTTCATAATTATTGTTTTCAATATCATCAGATTTATTATCAGATTCAATTGGATATTTTGCTATTTCAAGTGATGTCGAATTATTATTATCATTATTTAAAGCTTCAGCTAACAATAGTATAGCCAAAGTTAATTCATTAGTATTTGCAAATATTGTTTTACAAGTATATAAAATCATATCAAGAAATTGGCAAAGTAATTAATGATCCTTATATGATATTTTTTTTGTACTAAACAGAAGCTATGGCTTACTATATTTTGTACAAGTAATAGTAATTTCTACATTTTTAGTATATAATGCAGAAAGACAAAATAGCATTATATGCTTTGATCTATTTCTTTGTTTCATTTTTTAGATTGTGATTGAAGCTTTTTTTTGATATAAAGATCTATACTTTTTAGTTGTTATGGTACTATATAACTTCTCAAAAGATTTATAGTAAAAATCATTTTCTGGAATTA